GGCCCGCTGCCGCCTCCCGGCGTCGCTCCCGCAGCGTCGGGCCCAGAGGCTCGGTGCGGACTCGGGGCGAGCAGGACAGCGGAACTGACGCCGGCGGGCTTCCGGGAGCGGCCGGGGACGAGCGGCGGCGGCCGTCGGTCGTGAGGGAGCGGTGCGCGCGTCAGCAGCTACGGGCGACGCCAGTTCCGGACGGGGAGCCGGTCCTCGCTCGCGCGGATCTGCGCCGAGTCGCGGGCTATCGGCCGGCAGCTCTCGGAGCGCAGTGGTCGCCCGGTCGCCTCAGCGGCGGGCGCTGTTCTCGCTCGAAGCCCTCCCCACAGATCCATGAATGGAAATCGGCTCCGCAGGTGAGTCGGGGCTGAGCGGCTGTCAGGTGGGCTCGCCATCCCGCCCTGGTCCCCGGAGCATCCTCCGTCCTCCGCTCCAGGCTCCCGGGGCGCGTCCAAGGGAGTCGCGGGGTTTTCGGCCCTGCCAGCGGCTCCCCGCCGCCCCGGGTATGCGTCCGGTGGAGGCTGGGCGCTTAGCCATCTCTCTCCCTGACCTGAGTCTTAAAGTAGTTGTGAGGATGCCGGATCGCGGGTGAGAGTGTTCGAAACCCGTGTCAGAAGCAAGATGGCATTGCTTCCATCCCTGTCCCCAGTGCGGGTGGCTGCAGGGCATGCAGTTTCTGAAGAGCTTGGAGATGCCCTGTCAGCCTGGATCGCTGCTTATGTGAGAAGGTAGATCTTAAAAGGGGTGACAGTGGTGGGGCTTTGTTTGTTTGTTTTTCCTCCATTCTCCATTCCCTAGGAGTTTTCTTATACCTGGAAATTTGGAATTTCGGAAAATAGTTTTGTCTCCTGGGAGAAAAAAAAATGCCAGTCTTGAGGTAAAAAGTGCAACGTTGATGGTACTTGTCTTAAAAATTTATTCAGTGGGTCAAGTAATTAATTGAGTGACATAAAATAGGTGTTACGTAACAGTTTGCTTACCAAATGATCATCCTTGCACATTAAAGTTGAAAGTTCTCTTCATCCAGAAGATCAGGGATTTAGTTTTCAGAATATTTGGGGGAATTGTCTTACTGTTTAACAAGACCCTGGATTTTATATCTTTTGCCAATTTGAGAGGTACTTAAATATATGAAAAAAATCTATGTAAAAGAAACAGTGACGTGAAGTTTTTGAATAGATTAAGGATATAATTATCAAATGATTAAAAAAGGCACTTTATTATGTGGAATTTTATGTTCTCAGTTTCTACCGTTTTTTTCTTTCTTTCTGTGCTCCATTTTCTTTTCTTTCCCATATTTTCCTTAAAAGTTTGTCTAGATTGTGACATTTTCAGCTCTTCATGTATTTCCAGAACCTCCCCACTGTGTTTTGAAATTTTTTACCCTATTTATGCTATTCTTACTTTACAAGACATTTGGTGATTTGGAGCTGTCAGTGATTTTTTACCTAACTACCCTGTTAGCAAGCCTGGAAAATTAAATATGAAAGTTAAATATTTTGTCAATCATGCCACCTAAGACTTTGGAAGATATTTCCAAAAAATTAAGTAGTTTTTTTCTCCTTTGGGTTTTTCACATGAAACTATACCCGAATATATTGGCAACATCTTAGAAAGTACATATGACATCAAACTACATGGCAGCTGATACAATTAACTAAGTATGACTCAGAAATTAAATTTATTTGGGAGGGTGTTCTTTTGCTAAAATATAGACCACTTAATCTATCTTTATACCGGGAGAGGGATAGTTAAGATTTATCAGCCATATATGGCCATCTTGAAACATAAAGTTCATTCTTCAGTGCAGTTCATATGTGATTGACTGTTGTCTGAAAGCACAGATAAGTTATTCCAGCTGAAGATTGTTACCATCAAAAATAAAGTTTTTATTCTTCCTGTATCTTTTATATAATTCTTTATGGTGAATGTGAAATTGAAAACATAATTAGGAAAAATAACCAAGTTTTAAGTCCAGAATTTGACCTATACATATTTTGGTTTAAAAAAATTTAGATGAATGTTCTTTGGGGTTAATAGAGAAGTTTTGGCTCTTCTATTTTTGTGTGGAGATTCCCAGGAATCCTATTTTATTTTATTTATTTATTTATTTATATATTTATTTATTGAACCAAGGTCTTGCTATATAACTTTAGCTGGCCTCAAACTCACAGAGATCCACCTGTCTCTGACTCCTGCATTCTGGGATTAAAGACCAGAGCCACTACAAGAATCATCTTTACGATACATTATTTAAAATTTTGTTTATGTGGATACATAGGAAACTTAAATTTATTTAGTACAGTAGAGGACATAAAACACAAATATGTAATTATTTCATGATGAATCGTTCCTCACTAAAAATATTTGTTCTTCCTTATCACATGAACTTTTGCAAGGGATTTTTAAGTTTGTCTTGAACAGTCTACTAATTAAGTACCATCTAAACTGAGTTAACAAAAAATATTGAATAATTCATTTTTAAATGGTAATTTATCATGAAACTATGTTTATGATCTAATTACAGCTGAACTCTGGGCTATGCTTTGTTTCCAAACATGAATGGGAAGATCACAGGAAATGTTCATTTAAAATATTATATTTACTATTTTTATTTTATGTGTATGAATGTATTGCCTGCATGTACATAAGTGCACCTATGTCATGCTGTGCTCATGGAGGGCAGAAGAGGAGATGAGAGCCCCTGGAACTGGAGTTACAGATGGTTGTTAGCTGCCATGTGGGTGCTGGGACCCAAACCCAGGTACTCTACAAGAGCAGCTAGTGTTCTTAACCACTGAGCCATCTCTACATCTGGAAATATTCATTTAAATGCCACTTCTTTTAAAAAAATTTTTTTAATTCTTATTTTATGTGTATGTTTAGTCTGCATGCATGTAAGTGCCCCATGTGTCATGCAATGCTCAGAGAGGCCAAAAGAAGGCATGGGATCCTCTAGAACTGGAGTTACAGAGAGTTGTTAGCTGCCATGTGGGTGCTAGGAACCAAACCCAGGACCTCTACAAAAGCAGCCAGTGCTTTCAACTGCTGAGTCATCTCTCCAGCCCTACCTAGTACTCTAGTCTTTTTTTTTTTTTTTTTTTTTTGGTCTTTTTTGGGACAGGGTTTCCCTGTAGCCCCAGCTGGCCTGGAACTCACTATGTAGACCAGGCTGGCCCTGAACTCAAAGAGACCTTGCCTGCCTCTGCCTTCCATGTGCTGGGATTAAAGGTGTGTGCCACCATGCCCAGCTTCTAGTTTATTTTTTAAGGTAAAGTTCAACTGTTGTTCAGGAAGGAATTATACTTACATATAAATATTCTCTAATCTATGGAAGGGTTGGGAGTATAAATCGGAGATTGCTTTCCTAGCATACTCAAGGCTCTGAGTTCAATCCCCAGCATTGGAGGAAAAAAAAGTTTATGGAGGGAAAACATTAATTTTTATCATAAATTACTAATATGTAAATTGATTTGTTTTGGTAGTTGCTCTATACAATCTTGCAAAGGTGAATAGACTCTCAGATAACTTTAAAATTTTCTGAATATAATTGTCTTAGAGCTCTGCATTTCTTTATTAACTAAAAAAAAATGTTTCTTTTGAGACAAGGGCTCACTGTGTAGCCCTGGCTGACCTGAAACTCACTATGTAGACCAGGCTGGCCTTGAACTTACAGAGATCTGCCTGCCTTTGCCTAAAGGTGTGCACCACCACACCCAAGTTAAAAAAAAAAAATTTAAATCCCTTGGAAGCTGGCAAGATGGCTCACTTGGTAAAGGTACTTCTCCCTAAGCCTGATGACCTGAGTGCAGTCTTGGGAACCCATACAGAGGAAAGAGAGAGCCAGTTCCCTCTAATGCCCTCTGGCCTCTTCATGTGCATTTTGATTGGTACATGCTCATGTGCACATACAAAAAAGGAAGGAAGGAAGGAAGGAAGGAAGACCTTTTGAGATCAAGTTTCAAAAGAGTCAAATATATATGTAAAGGAAGCTAGAACTAAATCAAGAATAGGATTCAGAGTTGGGTATTATGGTGCATTGCTATAATCCTGGCACTCTGGAAGGCTACAAAAAGAGAATTGTGAATTTCAGAACAACCTGGGCTATATACCCTGTCTCAAAATAAAAGGGAAGATTTGAATGAGGAGGTTCAAAGTTGCATTTAGTATTCAGAACAATCTATCACTGTTGGAAGTATTTGTTGTTGTCTAAAGTTTCTTACATGTAGTTTGTTTTGTCTTGAAAAAAAAATGTTTTATTTCATCTCTGTGTGGTAGATGTGAATCTAAAAGTACTAAAGTTTTTTTTCTACTGTGTTGTCTCTTCAAATTTAGTTTGTGTTGCCCTGAAATGGCTATTATAACTTTTTAATATCTGCTGCTCATGACTGGCAACCTGTCTTATAAAAATATGCAAGATTATTTTGACTATTTAAAAATATTTTTTTATTTTATGTGTATGAGTATATGGCCTACATGTGTATAAATGCACCCTTGTCATGCAGTGCCCATAAATGTTAGAAGAGGGTGTTAGATCCTCTTAAACTGGAGTTATGGATGGTTGTTAGCTGCCATGCGGGTGCTAGAAACTGAATCCAGGTCCTCTGCAAGAGCAGCCAGTGCTCTTAACTAGTCATCTCTCCAGCCCCTTGACTATTGTTTTAGAATTTCATTTCTCTATCAATGATGGGATACCCCAAGAGAGAACTGAAAAGGAAACAAGAAACGTCGTTTTTTCTTTTCCTTTTAAAAAATTATTTATATTAATTATGCAAAATTATATGTTTCACTGTGATAATTTTGTATTTGTATATAATGTACTTTGATTATATTCACCATTTTTTCTTCTTAGAAAAGACTTTTAAGAAAGGATGGAATAAAGAGCATGTATAACCCACAAATGTAATTTAATCAGCATGATGAAAATGTTTAAAAAATATCCATGAATCTTTCACCATGATATAACCAATCTTTACTTTTTTTTTTGGTCTTTTTGAGACTGTCTTCCTATAGCCCCAGCTGGCCTGGAACTCACAATGAAGACCAGGCTGGCCTTGAACTCACAGAGATCTCCTGCCTCTGCTAGGACTAAAGGCATGCACCACCACACCCGACCCAATCTTTACTTTTTAAAACCAAATTACAACTAATCAGTCATAACAGAAGTGCTTTGGAAAAAAAGTTAAAATGAATGAAAAGATATCTCAATGTTATCTCTTTTTTACTCTTTGGCAAATTTTGTGTAGTAAGTTCATAATTTAGAATTTGTATATATATATATATTTAGTTAGTTAGTTAGTTAGTTAGTTAGTTAGTTAGTTAGTTAGTTAGTTTATATCTTCCATTGGGAACGTTG